GGTTCAAAGGGCAATAAAACAATAAAATTTAATTATAAATAGATGTATAAAATGTATTAGAGCTGCTTGGGATAAACAAATGTAGTTTTACGTTACAAAGGGCAATAAAACAATAAAATTTAATTATAAATAGATGTATAAAATGTATTAGAGCTGCTTGGGATAAACAAATGTAGTTTTACGTTACAATCTGAAGTCATACTAGAAAGAAAAGAAGGTTAATTTAAGTTTATTTCGATTTTTTTTGGTGGTTACGAAGTCGGTCGAATTGACCGATCCAGTTTTGAGATTAGGTTAGAGAAAATAACATATAAACTATGAGGATTTAGGGAAAAAAATATTTGAAATGCATTTAGGAGATTTTAGGTATTACACAAAGGAAATTTGAGATTTTTTAGATGAGGAAAAGTATTTTTAATTTTAACATGAAAATTACATTGCACATAGACTATTCAAAACAAATACTCAATATATTCATGGACAAAGAGTGTGTAGTTAAACCATATAACATAAATTTTGAAAATAGTTTTGTACATCTTAAAAATATGTGTGTATATTTTTGTTTCAAAATATTCATTTTCAGTCAATGCTATATTCAATAGGTGGCTATGGCAACAGGACAGGTCTTGTTTCAACGATTTTTTTTTTCAAAATCCTTTGTGAAGCATGGAATGGAGGTAAGTCATTTTCATGTTTCTATACCAAAAGTTAGCTGAAAAGTTCAGATGTGAAAGAAGGTGCAGTGGCATTAACCTTTTTGGGGCTGATGTGATTCTAAGAATTCACAAGTGAAAACAAGGGAGAATATGTTATATGTCAACCAAACTGCATCTGCTTTATCCAGTTATATAAGGTTACTCTGAACATCTGACATTTAAAATTTAATTAAAAAGTATAATTCCAATTTATTACGGTAGTTATGTATCTGAAGATAAGAGTAAAAATGACATTAAAACATTGTATAATGGTTATCTAATTAATTTTATAAATAAGAAAATTAAACTTTTGGTTGTAGTAGTGCTTATAAGCATTTGAACTGCATATGATGCATTTTTTTACATATATATATACACAGCACACACACACACACACACACCGAGTGG